CCCCTGCGAGAATTTGGCAGCGCCTTGAAGGGACGAATGGATCCGTGTCAGGCTCATGGTTGTCTCCTTCCCCTGATGGGGTCAAGTCCCAAGTCTCCATCTTTTCCGCAGGCGTGCCCTCTGCCCAGACAAAGCCTTGCAGCCCAGTCCAGAGCCCTGAGAACTGGAAAAGAGCAAAAACTGGCCCCTGGCCCTGCAGCAGCGCTCCAGGGGAACATACACTTGTAGCTGGCACACTCCATGGCTGTGGTCTAGTCAGTAACCGAGCACAGTGGACTGTTCCATGTCTGCAACAGCTGCCTGACTGCTGTGCCCTGCCGGCCACCGTCTCTCTGATTTCAGGTACCAGATAACCAGACATTTTCCCTCATAGCCTTCCCTCCTCCTGTTTTTTTGGTTTAGTTTTTGTTTTTTTTTCCTGGAATGAATGAGGAAGTTATGCGGCCTCTTTATGTTTCTTTTTCTATGATTGAGCTTTATCTTGAGACTAATCTGTTGCAGGGCAGGGAGAGGGGCACCCCGGACCCTACAAACCTGCCTGCTCTAAATAGGTTCTGCCATCCGCCGCGTCAACACAAAAACATGAGACTTTAATGGGAAGGAACTTTAATACAATTAGGAAACAACACAGGAAAGGCAAAGAACGTAGTTTCTAAATCAAGCACCCAAAGTCACCCGTCCCCTCGTGGGTAAAAGTCCACCCAAACGGGATTGGCCCAGAGCAAGGCCCCAAAGCAGCCACAGTCTGAAGCACCTTTCCAGTGGGGACCCACAGAAAAGCATCAGAAACAACCAGACAAGGCTGGGAGGAAAAGAGCAAAATCAAAATCAAGGCAAAAACCACCATTGTCACCTCCCCACGGGTCTCACCCATGTCTGTGTCACCTCGTCCACGACACGGCAAGCACAGTTTCTCGTGTCTCTCAGCTCCATGTGCCTCCTCCAGGTCCCCTCCTGGCTGCATCCTGCTCCTTCCTTCCTCAATCTCCTCTGCAGCTGCTTCTCCCTGCTCAGCTCCACCTTCCCTTGGGTGGGGCAGGGAACCTGGAAACATCCCCTTTTCCTGGGGACCCCTCTGTGGGGGTTTCTTTCACAGTTTTGCCAGATTTTTAATTTCCCAGCCCTTCTCCATCCCTTTCAAGCTTGGGTGACCTTTGAGAGCACATTTGTTTTGAGGTGGAAACAGCCTTAGGATCTATGTGAGAAAACAGACCCGGTGCTGGCTAGTGTGTTACAATGTTAGTCAACTTAAAAAATAGTTTGAAAGTGCTTTGTCTCCACATACCATCCCCAGTGTGGCTGGCTAGAAGGCTACACTGTATGCAGTTTCTTTTTCAATATTTTGAAGGCCCCTCTGCTGTTACTGCCATGAACTGTTACTGTTAAGACACTTAGTGAAGATATTTCTTGCCTTTTACCATGACTTCCTTTTTCTTCCTAAATGTAGTAGGCTGATATGCTTAATTCTGGATTTCTACAATTAATCATCCTTGGAGGACTCTTTCAATCTGGACACATGAGTTCTTATTTCTGGTGAATTCCTCACAGCAGTTCCCCTTCCCTGCAGGAGATGCCAGATTCTTGGCACACCCCAAGCCCTGTGGAGACCATAGGGCTCCTCTGCCTGCGCGTGTAGGGTAAAGTTGAACGTTTGAACTAGGCGAGGAGAGGAAGGACAATCACTCATGATAAAATAGAATAGTTGTGACAACACACAATTCTAAAGGTTAGGAGTGTGGTCTTGCAAAATAGCTTACCGTGACTTCCAGGAGAGGCCCAAGACCTGCTGTATTTCTTTCAAAACTCATTTGCCTCCATTTCTCTCCCCTGAACTCTTACTAGAAAGTTTGTTGGGAGTGCCCAGCTTCAACTTTTGGCTCGATTCTCTCCTATTTTCTGTCTCTTTTTACCTGCTGAATAATTCTTTAATCTTAAAAAAAAAAAATATGCATACAAGATCTGGGGTGTAGGCCAGAGGTGCAGGGGGTGAAAGGACTCACCTGAGACAGAGTAGGGAGCAGAACAGGTGGATCCACTGAAACACACTACTGAGGGGAGCTAAGGGGAGCAGCAGGGAGACAGGAGAGGTCTGCTCAGCCACGTGGGTAGCTCCCTGGCTGGGATCGAACTCATGCTGCGGTGGCTGGCGAAAGCTTGGTAACACTGAGACTTTAACTCTTGAATGTGTTTTACAATTTTGTGTATATTAATTTCTGAGACTCCTTTCTTACATGACCTTGAAGCCGTTAGCATTTGAAACACTTTTGCCATCTTTCCATTAACATATTCTTTGCTGGACCCCTCCTGCACACACCTTTTTTGCCTCTTTGCTTCATCCATTTCTTAAGTGGCAGGAGACCGTGGGCCATCTTCATGTTTCAAGGACATGTTTGCGTTGACTTGTAGGCCCCAATTTGGGATAAGCATCTGGAACTGACTCTGGGATCCCCCAATTTCACGTCTGGATCCTCACATTGTCTTGTTCCCAGAGACCCTCCTGTGCTTGCAGGAAGCCTAGCTGCCCTGGTTCTGCTTGGGGCGTGGAAGTGGCCTCAGCAGGGATGTCCAACCGTTTTTTCTGCAGACTTACTAAAGCCAGAAATGAGGAAAGGCTTTCTAGGTAAGGATCACTATGTAATACTCACTGATTATTACTTGGGAGGTATCTCATTTTTCTCATAAAATTATCTTGTGTTCATAAAAAAATTCTTAAGGATTTCACTTTTAGAAAAATACCAGTATATCCTACCTTTTCCAGTAAGTCAGGCAGGCCTCTCCAGGATCACTGCCCACCTCCCTGTGGCCACTCTGCTCCTGTCAGCCAGAGATGCTTTCAAATTTCTAAGAACATAGATTCTTTCTGGCCTTTAGTTCTGTTTTCTCTCTTGTGATGGTTAAATTTTTGCGTGTCAACTTGAATTGGCCATAGGGTGCCCATGCATTGATCAAAAGACATTCTGCCTGGACTTATTTTGGAATGAGATTAACATCTGACTCAGTGAACAGAGTGGGTGGGCCCCATCCAATCACTTGAAGCCCTGAATAGGAGACAAGGCTGAGGAAGAAAATTTGCTGCTAACTGCCTTAAGCTTCATTCACCCTTGGTTTTTCCCTATCTTTGGGCTTAAACTCAAACATCACCTCTTCCAGGGCCCCAAGCCTAACAGCTTTCAGACTGAAACGCCACCACGGGTTCTTCCTGGGGCCCCACCTTGTGGATTGCAGATCTTGGGACAGTCAGTCTCCATCACTGTGTGCCAATTCCTTCCATCAGTCTGCATTCTTGCTCCTGACACCCCTTTAGACACAAAGTGAGAGTCATGCAGAGTTGGCTTCTGGGCCCAGCTCTGATGTTGGGGTCACTTACCAGCTATGAACTTCCCTTTCTCATCTGCACTATAGGCCTATGGCGCCTCCCCAAAGGGGCCGAGAGCACTAGATGGGCATCTAGCCACTACACAGCAGCCGAGCGCCTGGGGCAGAAGCTTCAACTAGTGGGCATTCACACATCTAGAATCTAGGCTGGTGTGTCCAGCCCTTACCTGGCGGGATCAAGGACTCAAAAGGGCATGAGCCAAACACCTGCGCGCTCACCATCCCCTAAGACTTCTCGGGGCACCGGAGAACACCCAGTCCAGCGCCAAAGTGCTGTGAGAAGGCCGAGTGGGCGGGTGCGGGAGAACAGAAGCCCGAGCCACTGCCCACCCAGAGGAGTGCCAGGCAGGCCTGTCCACCCGCTCTAAGTCCACATCCGGGGCACCCCGAGCCGTCGGGAGGCCGAGGGCACCGGGTGGGTCTGGTCTCAGAGCTCCCTCTGACCCGCGAATGGAGGCGCTCGGCCTCGCAGCCCAGGGCCAGGCGCGCCGCGGCCGCCAGCCCCACGCGGCCCCACCGGGGAGAGCGCGTCCTTTGTGTCTGGGCGGTGGTGGGGGCGGACGCCGGGCCCGGCGGAGGCGGGTCCCGCGAGGTGACGGCCGGGCCCGGGCCCGCGGTGTCCGCGCCGGCCCGGCCGCCCGCCCCCAGCCCGCACGCCCGCTGGGCTCGGGGCGCGGGCCGGCCCAAGGTCACCGCGCGAGCGAGCCCGGGCGGCGGAATCGAACCCGCGGCCCCTCCAAGGTCACCGGCCGGGTGCGGCCGAGCCGAAGCCGCCCCCGGCGCGGCCCCGGGCCGGCGGCCGCGCGGGCGGGCCCTGGGGCCTGTCGCCGCCGCGAGAACGCCGCCGCCCGCGCGGCCCGCCGCCCCGGAACGCGGCCTCCCGCCGCCGGCTCGCCGCCCGACTACGGCTCCCGGCGGGCCGCGCGGCGCGGGCGGGGCGCGGGCGGGCGCGGCGGTGACGTCAGGCCGCGCCCCGGCCCTCGCGCGCGGCCTGACGGGACGCGTGGTCGTGCGCCCGGCGCCCCCGGCGGCGGCGCGGGCGGCGCGGACTCCAACTCCCGGCGTGCCCTGCGGGCCGGCGCACGTTAACGGCGGGCGGGGCGGGAGGCGCGGGGCGCGCGGCCGGGAGGGCGGGGTGGGGGAGGGCGCCCACACCCCTCCCCCTCGCCGCTCTGCCCCCTCCCCCGACGTAAGCCGGGCTCCCTTTCCCCTTGTGTCCGCCATATTGGGCTCAACTCTGGTCAGCGGCGGCGCCGGCCCGGCGGACTCGCGGCTGCTCCCGCCCGCGGCCTCCCGCAGCTCCCGCCGCGCCGCCGCCCCGCCGGAGCGACCCGCGCCGCCCCCGCCCTCGCCGGCCGCCGCGCCCGCCGCCGCCTCGGCGCCCGCCCTCCCGCCGCCGCCGCCGGCCGGGCCCGCCCGCCGCCCGCCGCCGCCGCCGCCATGAGCCCGGCCGACGCCAAGCGCGGGGCCAAGCGCCGGAAGAACAAGCGGGGCGGCGGCGGCAAGGCCGGCCCGGCGGCGGCGCTGCGCGGCTCCCAGGCCGCGGGCCTGGCGGCCCCGGGCGGCGCGGCGGCGGCCAACGGGCCCCTGGGCGCGGGCGCGGGCGCGGGCGCGGGCGGCGCCGCCCCCGGAGGCTACTTCGAGGTGAGCGCGGGGCGGGGCGGGGCGGCGGGCGGGGGGCGGCGGCTGTCAGCGCTGTCAGGCCGGCCGGCCGCGGAAGTTGGCGGCGAGAGCGCGGCCGGGCCGGGCCGGGCCGGGCCGGGCCGGGGCCCCCGCGGCCCGCGGGCGGAGCAGGTGGCGCGCGGGCTCCGCGGCCGGGGCCGAGCCGAGGGGCGCCGACGCCCGCGGGGCCCCCCTCTTCGGGCGGCCGCGGCGAGGACCCCGCGCGCCCGCGCCCTCCGCGCCGGCCCCGGGCAGCTTTGTCTCCCCGCGGCGCGCGAGGACAGCGCCGGCCTCCCGCGCGGGGCCGCCTCGCGCCGGCCGGTCTCCCACAGGTGGCGAGCGCCGGGGCGCGGCCCTGGCCCGAACACGCCCCCGGGGCCTGCGTGTCCGCGGGCGCCCGCCGGCGGCCCCGCGTCTCCCCGGGGTCGGGCCGGCGCGTCCCCACGCGGCGGGCGCCTCAGGGGGCCTGAGAGACGCGGGCGCGCCGGGCTGCGCGCGGGCCGGGCCGGGCCGGGCCGGGCCGGGCCGGGGCCCCGCAGAGCCAGGAGGAGCGCTCGGCCCGCAGCGCCCGGGCACGCGGCGGGCACGCCCCTCGCCGGGCCTGGCGCTCTCGGGCGGGCGGTGCCGCCTGACGGCCTCGCCTCGGCGTCCCGCTGCCGCTCCCGCTCCCGGGGCTGGCGGGGATCCGGCCGGGAAGGGCAGGACGGCGGGGCCGGCGCACCTGGCGTCCCCACCCTGGGGCCGGGGTGGGAGGGAGCCGGGAAGGACTTGGCCGCGGGCGCCATGGAGAGGCCGTCTTGGGCCAGGGCCTCCTCGCCGGGGCGTCTGCTCTGAGGGTTGCCCTGAAGGGAAGGCTTGGGAGGGACGGGCAGCGGCGCATCTCCTGTGGCATCTCTCTTTCCAGGCATCACTTCCATGACGTGTTCAGTGAAGAAAGACGCCTGCAAGATACAGGATAGTGCGTGGCGGGACCCTTTTTAGAAATGTCTGTGTCTGTCTGCATGTGCTGGGGAAGCCTCCCAGGGTGCACATCAGAATAACCTGTGGCGAGAATCTGATGACTCATGCCTCGGGCTCTGAGGCTTCCTTCCGTGGGAGCGGGACTTAGGGGGCAAAAGGTGCGAGCAGTGCTTGTGCCGTCCCACGTTGCCAGCAGTTTCGCTTTTTTCACATAGAACAAATTTGGGCTTTTTCCATCTTTCAGTGGTGAAACAGTTGGCTGTCGCATACAAAGTAAAAATATTTGCACCATCAGAATTCTGTTTTCTGAATCGGTGTGCAAAATTGAATCACACGCGTTACTTACAAAACCCCGTGCGCTGCTGCCACAGAAGCAGACCTGTGCCTCTCGCTGTTGGAATGACGCTTTGTTCGGGGAGAAATCGAATGGCAGTTTAGGGCGACTTTTAAAATGTCATTTGTAAAAGGAAGCGCTGGGGTAGGGTCAGCATTTCAAACAGTCATACTAAAGGCTTAAAGTCGGTGTGGGGCGAGTGTGGTGACGTGAACCCTCGTTCACCGCCGCAGAGGTGGAGCCAGAGGTGACAGCGTTCACAGGCTGTCGCCAGGCCTCCTGGGGGCTTTGGGGGGTACACTTGGAGGACTCTCCTGTGCTGTGGAAATAAATGGCTGCCATGATGAAATGGGGTACAGGGTTGCTGCTGCAGTTCACGCGCACCGAGGTGGGCTGAGGAAGTAGGTGGCATGGAGGCTCGTAGACTGGGGTCCTTTAGCACGAGGACATGTTGGTGTTTCACGTACGTGTACTGCCAGGGGACCCACAGGCCAGGACAGAGAACATTCCAGTACCCTAGAATCGCCCATCCTCACCACTCTTTTCTCCTGCATCCCTCAGGCACGCTCGCTGGCCAGGGCTCAGGCCCGTCAGCGCCGAGACTGGTCCGCGGCTTCCACTTCTGCACGCGAGTGGTCTGCAGTCTGGCCTCCTGCTGAGGGGCCGCAGGATCAAGCTGACAGGCATGTCCAGGTGTGTCTGCCCGAGGGGGCGGTCGCTGGGCATGTGTAAGGCCTGACCTCAGCCAGCACCAGGTGAGCGGTTGCTCTCTGCTGCCCGGCACCGGCCTCCCCACCTGCTCAGCCACCACCTGCCTCCTGGGAGCGCCCCGTCCAGCCACAGGGCATGACGCTTTCTGCAGCTGGGCTGTTTCCTCAGCCCGTTGATTTGGAGAGTCAGTCAGGCGTCAGTGCATCGGTCGTCTCCCTGCTGGCGCACTGGTCTTCAGGCAGCCCTTTCTGCGCCCGCTCTGCTCTTGGTGGACATGGGGTGGTTCCCAGGGCCTGTGATCATCGCGGGAGAGACAACTCTGCTATGAATGTGCAGAGTTGGGTGTGAAAGCCAGTTTTCATTTCTGTAGGGTAGATGCCAAGGAACGGGAGCTGGGTCTATGCTAACATAACCCACCGCTCGGTTTCCCATGTGGGGGTGCCATCCTGACACACACACCCCCAACCCCCCGGGCATGGGCCTCCTTGCTGGCACTTGTTGTCAATAGCTTTAATTTTTACTATATTAGCAAATAAGTGTGTGGGGCACAGTGGTGTTAATTTGCATTTCCCTAGTGACTGGTGATGTTTGAACTTTCAATGTGTTTATTATTCTTATACTAACTTCAGGTGAAATGTTTTTTCAAAACTTTGCCTATTTTTAATTTTTCTGAGTTTTGAGAGTTCTGTATAATTCTGAACATGAGTCCTTTGTTGGATATGTGAATTGCAAATATTCCCTTCCGCTTAGTATCTTCTTTTTTTAGTCTGTTAACTTTTTTAAAGAAAAAATTAATTTTTTTCATTTTATATTTCTTGGTGTCATGTCTAAGAACTTCTTGTTTTATAAAATGCCTCACAATGAAGGCCTGTCCCCTGTGTTCGCTTCTAAAGCTTTCGTAGTTTCACATTTCGATCTAATTGCGTTTTTTTTTTTTTTTAAATATGTACTTATTTCTGCAGATAAGAGCTGGGGTGCAGGCCAGAGGTGTGGAGGGTGAGAAGACAGAGTGGGGAGCAGAACAGGCGGATTGACTGAAACACTGCTGAGGGGAGCAGCGGGGAGACAGGAGAGGTCTGCCGTACCATGTGGGTAGCTCCCTAGGGGGGGGATGGAACTCGCGCTGCAGAGGCTGCAGACAGCTTCGTAGGTTGCGTCTTCACCCCCTGCATCACCAGGGAGGCCCCAGTTGCGTCTTCTTTTGAGTTAATTTTGTATATGGTGTCAGATTCAAGTCGGGGTTCTTTTTTCTTTCATACAGATGTCAGGTTGTTGCAGACCCATGTGTTGAAAGTATCATATAGCCTTGCTCCAACAAATTGACTTATCGTCCTTGTCAAAACTCAGTTGAGACCTTGTTTGTAAGGTTATTTCTGGATTATCTGTTGTGTTCCTCTGTCACTCTGTCTTAATTACTGTATATCTTCAAATTGCACAAGGTAATTCTTCCAACTTAAAGCAATTGTTTTGGCTATTTGTTTAGCTCTTTTTTTTTTTTTTTTTTTTTTTTTTATAGAGGCATGTTTTATTTATTTATTTGTTTGTTTGTTTTGTTTATACATGCACTGGGTACAGTCAGAAGCGCGGGAGGGTGAGAGAATTCACCAGAGCCAGAGCGGGGAGCAGAGCAGACAGAAGGACCGAAGTACACTGCTGAGGGGAGCAGCGGGCGGCAGGAGAGGTCTGCGCGCCATGTGGGACCCTCCTCGGGTGGCCGGGGAGCGGCCGGGGATCGAACCGGCGCCGCAGAGGCCGCGGGCAGCTTCGCAACCCAGCGCTCAACCGCTGCGCCACCGGGGAGGCCCTATTTGTTTAGCTCTTGCATATATTTTAGAAACAGTTTGCCTGTAAATAGTTTTTCTCAGATTTTATTGGAATACACAAATCTCTGAATCTCTGATCAGTTTGGTGGAATCTTTCATTCTGAGAATATGGGATATCTCTATTGGGGCTTTTTTTTTTTTTTTTTTTTTCATGCACTTGTTTTAGATTTATACAGTATCATTTTTTCAACTCTTGCAAATGGTGTTTTTTTTTTTTTTTAATTTTTCTAGAGGCATGTTTTATTTGTTTGTTTGTTTGTTTGTTTGTTTTGTTTATACATGCACTGGGTACAGTCAGAAGCGCAGGAGGGTGAGAGAATCCACCAGAGCCAGAGCGGGGAGCAGAGCAGGCAGAAGGACCGAAGGACACTGCTGAGGGGAGCAGCGGGCGGCAGGAGAGGTCTGCACGCCGTGCAGGACCCTCCTCCGGTGGCCGGGGAGCAGCCAGGGATAGAACCGGCGCTGCAGAGGCCGCGGGCAGCTTCGCAACCCAGCGCTCAACCGCTGCGCCACAGGGGAGGCCCGCAAATGGTGTTTTTTTAATTTCATTTTCCATTTATCATTGTTAATATAAAAAATAGAATTAATGTTTAATCTTCAATCTTGTTATAATGTATTTGAGAGTTTTTTTGTTTGGATTCATTGGGACATTCCTTTCTAGTTTGCTGGGAATTTTTTATTAGTGGCGGTTGAATTTTGTCAAGTGCTCTTTTGAATCAGTTTATATGATTTTTTCCCCCTTTATTAATGTGGTAGATCAAATTTTTAACTTCTGGATATTGAACCAGCTTTGCATTCCTGGAATAAACTCTGTCAGTGTATATTACTTTTTTTTAATTCACGGATTTACTGTATCAATAATTTGTTGAGCATTGCTGCATTTATTTTCATAAGATATGTCAGTAGATTTCTTGTATTGCCCTTCTTGGCTGGTGTTGGTACCAGTGTAATGTTGGCCTCATAAAGTAAATTAGGAATTAATTGTTCCCTTCACTCTATTTCAATAGTTTCTGGGTTTCAAAGAATTGGTCCATTTCATCTAAGTTGTTGAATTTATGTGTGTAGAGTTGTCTGTAGTGCTCAGTTATAACCCTTGTAACTTGTGTGGGTCTGCAGTGACGTTTCCTCCTTCGTTCCCAGTACTGACACTGTCT